GGTTAGTTAACAGCTAAAAATAGTAAAAGGCTAATTAAAAGCTAAAAGTAGCAAAAGGTTAATCAAAGATAAAAGTTGGTAAATGTTCTTTAAAAGCTCAAAGTAACAAGTCTATTTAAAACTCTGAATAACAAAATGTCTTGTTAAAAACCTAAAGTAGCAAAAGATTAAAGTGCTAAAAGTAGGAAAAGGCTAGTTAAAAGTTTAACGTAGCAAAAGGATAATTAAAAGCTAAATGCAGTAAAAGGCTAACTGAAAGGTAAAAGTAGCTAAAATAAATAAATAGCGGAGCTGCTCCTACTAAATAGCACAAAGTATGCAGAAGTAGTTGGATTACTTATATTAAGTGTCTGACCACATTGTGAGAATAACTCAAACTACACTCTTCACTAAACAAACTTTCTGGCCCTGCGGAAGAGCAGGAAAACAACTAAACCTGCAGGATTGTGGCCTTCAAGGACCGGACTGGACACCACGGGTGTAAATCATGCACTCATCTTCAAAGCAGACTTCTTCTGCTCTCAGGCTCTGGTCTGAGGGACAGTCTCACCTTTAAAGTTTCCTCAACTTTTAACTTAAATGTAACAAGCTGGTTTTCCTATCGCTCTCTTCAACACAATGCATGGCCAGACAGATTGCACAAACTTTTACATACTTATTTTATTTAGACACAGGCAGATGGGTTAAAGTAATTTATAGCTGAATATGTAAAATGTTAGGCGTATTTTGTTAATTTGATTAAAGGATTGGAACGGAATCAGAAATTAAACACAAAGCAACAACAAAAAAGCTGATGGGCGCTTCATGCTTCATCATCATCGTGATCGGCTCGTACAGCTCATTGATTAGAATTCCACTTTTACATCCCCGATGATCAAAGTGAACGCACAGAAACGCCAGCTGAAATCAGCGCCGCCGACATTAAACTAGGTGTCAGCTAAATTGAAAGCAGCCTGCAGTTTATTGGCTCGCGCTCCTGCAGCCAAACACAACACGCTAATCTTTGCTCCGAGTTGCTCCGACGAGATCCGAAGGCTTTGAAGTTACGATTCTGTGCGGTTGCGTGTGTTGGATGGACATCCTTGTTGGGGTCCGGTAATCTAACTATGTAACACGGCCCTGCTCTCCCTAGAGGAGGAAAATGGATGATGGATGTACGGTAATGTGATCCGTGTGATGATACGTGAGCTGAAGGTTGCCTTAAACACGTGTTGAGTCCACCTTAGATATAACCAGCACAACTTTAGCTCTTTGAGGGTTCAGCATGGAAATCTTTTATGCTCGAGTTTTTATTTGTTCTCATCAGGATGGTGTGGCATCCTCTGCACTGGTGCAGCTGTTTGATCCCCTGCTGTCCCCAAGATGCTACGCTGTCGTTGGACTCAAGAAGCAAAGATAATGACGAGCTGAACTTCTCCATGTGATAAAACAACGCTGCAGGCTTTGTCTTTCTGCATCAATGTATTCTTACCCATTTTATCTGATTATGTCTGTTCATTATACAATCGCATTATCAAGAAAGTGTTCTTTAAAATAAAGAAGTTTTTTTTTTTTTTTTTTTTTTTTTTTACTAAGTTTTTGCTCTTAAAAATACACCGTTTAGTAAAACAATCTGCCATGTCTGGTTTGCTTTATTAAATTCTATTTTTTGCAGCCTTTTGTCTTTTTCGTTAGGTGCTTCTTAAATAAAATCTTGCTTTTAAAAGGACCATTTGGGGAGTTAAAAGTCTTAAGTAGACTCGTTACATCTGGAAAAGTCATTTCTCAAACCATCTAATCTTTTGTTCTAGATTTTGTAATTTGCATACGTTCTGTCATAAGGAAGAAATACGTATTGTTTTGGGATTACACAGTTATTGACAAAGAGCAAAAACTTTTAAAAATATATAAATTAGGGATGCACGATATTATCGTTATGGTATCGGTATTGGCCGATATTAGCGATAAATTTAAATATCGTACAATAGCCATGAAAATAATTCACCGATATAAAAAGGCACTGTTTTAAGTAAATTTTTAATTTAAGAAAGTGTTAAGTCTATCTATTAATGCACTACTACTTATGCGCTTTTCACTTGTCGCTTGTGAACAGGTTGAGTTTAGATTTGTGAAAATGTACAAATTTGCACTGTTCGAGTGTTGCCATTGTGTTAGAGAGAGTAAATGTCATGAATACATTTGACATGAAACATAATCCAAGTTGAAGTGTTGCGTCATTTTCAGCCCCCTTTTTGGCATCTGCATTTGGTAGCAGGACAAACTGACAAAGACCGTGCAGAATAATGTATTTTATTTCCACAGCAGAGAAAGCTTTTTGTAGGTCTAGGGAAAAACATATCAGTACTGGTATTGGGTATCGGCCAAATAAGTTTTAACATATTGCCATATCGGATATTGGCCAAAAATTCAATATCCTGCATCCCTTGTTTAAATACATTGTTATGGATTATTCTTGCCTCTGCATGCATGTAAAATTTAACAACTGGACTGTCACACGTTTTTGGCAATCAGGAAGTTGGCTAATGAATAGGCCTCACAAACTAGTACTGATTTAGCAATTTTTATCACGTTAAAAAACATACACAGATATATAAATAAAAATAAATATATTTAAAAATATATGTAAATATATACAGATATAAAATAGTAAAGTGCTTTAAATTCAGCATCTGTGAACTGATGATCAAACCAGGGTTTAAAGGTGCACTAAAGTAGATCCATCTTTTCAGAATACACTGCTTATTTCAGCAAGACAATGCCAAACCACATCTCATCTACATCAGCATTGCTAAAATATTCCTGACAAGTTTGATTACAGTCCAGATGTTCATTAAAATATGTGCCATATGAAACAAAACGTATAGTAAATAAAACTCAGGGGGTCTGATAAGAGCCTGAATCAAGCAAAACCTCCGACTGCTCTGCTTAATTCCCCAAATGTAGTTCTGGTAAATCAAGAAAAAAAAAAGTTCATTTTGAACATACGCATGTCAAAAAGAGTCATTACTGAGAACAAGGTTGTGTGCTCTGTTTTTAGAGTCGGTAATGGTCACGACAGCTGTTCACGTGAGCATTTTCTTGCTGTCGGAGGATTCATTTTTACAAAATCCCCGCGATCTTGAACCAATTTAACCCAAATACAGAACGAGGGCACGCTGTTCCTTCTCACCGTTTGACACAGAGCATTTCTTCTAATCACACCTTCCGCTGCGTCCACCATTTGTCACTGTAGCCGCAGCAGGCTGCACATCTGCATTCATTCATACGTCTTATAGTCGCTGTGGTGAAACCGTGTCCCTGAGCTTTATTTTTAACTGGGTAAAGATGGACGGCGGAGCTCTGGCCTGCGTCTGGGCCGTGTTTGGATCCAGCAGCCTGTTCCGCCCTGACAGCCAGCCTGCTTTGACCAAACGTCTGAAGAGAAGACAACAAATTAAAGATGGGAATGAGGCTTGTTTAGGAACTAGAGCCCTGCAGGGTTTTGTTGTGGCCAAGTGAGACACGTCCGGTCTCACACGCATTCGTGCATATTTTGACAAGTGGTATATGAAGCATTGCCTCTTGTAGCGGAAAACAGGAAAAAAGACATCAGAAATACCATGAAGTGGCTCCAATTTCCTGCCCTTGCACTTAACGGTGGACAGGAAAAGGGTGATCAGGATGTGTCCAACGCCCGGAGACAAAGAAAGAAGAAAACTCCAAGGTGCCAATTCAGCCTGCTCATGTGGGTTAAAATCACCGTTATCTCCGAGATAATTCACATTCATGCTCTGAAGAGACGACATTCGGTTCGCACCTTGCTGCGGACGTGTGCAGAAGTGCAAACGGGCATGTCGGAGCGTGTAAATGTGTCAAACCGAGCTTCAAAGGACGTCACGCTAAGAAAAACTTGAGAACGGACGTCTGCTGCGCTCAACATGAAACCCAGACGTCACGTGCGTTCAATAGCTCCTCGTCCCTCTGACGATTTTTTTCCTGAAATCGTGTCCAGCCGTATGAAATGGATCCGAAATATCTGAGAAAACGGGCAGACAACTCTCAAAACGTCCGGAGTTGATCCAAAATGGGTGCAATGTAGAACTCGGCTGATTAATTGACCAAATATCACTAATCTGATAAGATGTTCGGAGAATCTGTGGAAGTCTTCCTGTTGCAACATGTTCGGTTTAATGGATGTGACAGACGTGGAACATTCTTTGATGAAGGCCACTACTCTGAAACATCTGCAAGCTTTTTTTGTTTGTTTTGTTTTTCTGTGAGCAGAATGGAGTTGAAATTGAGAATAGAGCTCAGGTGTGTGTGCAACCGGTTTGGCTTTTGATGCTGAGAGCTGAGATGAGTGCAGCTTTGATTAAAAATTGATATGAACCCTTTCTGGCATGTATTTTTCATGTTATTTTTTATAGCTGTAAAAAAGCCTCCATGCTAACCCAAAGCATTAAACTTCATTTTATTCAAGTCAAACTTAGATTTCGGATCCTCCTGAATATAAACTGTTTGCACCCATGTTCCGTTAAAAAAAGGGTGGGTTTGCTTTGGAAGCTGATTTTTAATTACCGAGCTTCCATGCTGATATTTTTGGCACCTATTTTTGTGAGAGCAGAGCTCAGCCCGGACCTTCCGGCTCCGATTGTTCGTTTCCTGCTTGATGTTTTTCTGTTGGGGGTGGAGATGCAGCCGTTCCGGAGGCAACAACACGAGGAAGTTACCATTACTCACTTTGAACTGTGAGGAAATCTGTTAATGAGAGCATCAGTGGATGTTTATACTTTTAAAATGACCGCCTCTCGTCTTATTTTGGACCAAGATAACTTTGCCTTTATGTGTATTTAATTTTAGGTGGGTGCTCGCCTTCATTAATCATTCATCTGCATCTATCCGAGATCATTTTGTGTCTGATTTGACTTCTTGAAGACTACCGTATATCACAACTCATGATCGTCTGATGTATTTTTCTTCATATTTGCATTTCTTTGCAGGCGTTTGAATTTAACTTTACTTGCCGATGGTTACATCTTGATTTTCTTGCTTCAATTTGTGTTATTTTTTACTCTACTTGCACCTCCTCTGCAGCTCATTTTAATTGTTTTTAGCTTCTTTCTAGACTAAATGTTATAAATCTGGAATGGAGCCAAAATTTAAAAACTTTGTCCGAGCCACGGGCCACTTTCAGCGGACATTAACTCGAGTCTGACACCTGATATCTTTTCTTGGTTGCAGGTTCATGATCCGTCTCACCTGATGTTCTGTTACTCTTTCTACATCAGAATCAATAGTGACAGAATGATCCAGCCGTATTTCTGGCTTCAAAGTTAGCCAGCTGGTAAGAGAAGTCTATACTAAATGACGCATTTATTAGTTTTTTTAAAGACAAAATTAAAATTGATCAAATATTTTACATTTAAGTTATCTTGGGGGACCAGATTTGGACCTCGACTCAAGTTTGACATAATGTGTCTGGGTGATCTGTCTATGGGCATCGAATATGCTGCCTTTTTTAGTGTTTCCAGGTTAAATGCTGTGCAAAATCATGAAAGTATATGCTCATGCTTGTTTTTTTTTTTGTTTTGTTTTTTAAAGAAGACAAGTTTTGGGAAAAAAAAAAAAACTTTGTTCACATCATAACAAAATGTGTTTTTTATGAAAAGCCACAAGTTATAAATCATTTGCCTTAAAGATGATTCATACTTCCTGAAACAACATCAACCAAGCAGGACACAAAACAGTAACATTTACTTATCAAATATTTAGACCTGATGTTAGAATCATTTATTTTTTTTAACCTGAAAGGGCAAACACTGTTTAAGGACTTATCATGACAGTGCATTTAATACGATGCTCTATGTTGAGGTTAATGTACAAGTATTGTTAAAAGGAAACAAAAACGAACAGTTTACTAGATTCACCTCAAAATAAAACTCGGGTACAATAAGAGCCTTTCTTTCTGAACTTTCCAACAAGTTTCATGAGGTCAAGTTCTGTTCTGAATCAGGGCCGCTGCTACAAACGACTGTGTGACCTCGAGCTTCACTGCTTTGTCATTGCCTCAACCACTGTGAGGCTTTGCTGCATGCATCCCGTTCCAACCATCTGTTTTTCTTTTTCCGCTGCTCTGCACAGCATTTATCCTGCTGGAGCCCCGACTGTGGGGACAGGCCCGGCTCCAGCTGGTAGTCAGCAGGACCCGGCTGCACGGCTCCAAAACCGTTGCCCATATGCTAACCATAGGGTGAGGTGCAGCAGTTCATCCATCACACTCACCACTCCCTCGCTTCAGCCTCTCCACGGAGACAGTTGAGGTTTGGTGAAGCTAAATTAATCAATACTTTTAAACTGAAGATAAACCCGTGATAATGCGAGGTCTACAGCAGGAATCAAACTCACGCACTCGGGCTTTTC